AGAATGAGACACTGCCAAGCTAGGAGTTTATATATAAGCTGGGTTGGAGGTGGAAGAAGAGCGCCTTAACAAAAAGAATGTGCATATCAAGAGGAATTTAGCATATTCATGGGAAATGCGTAGGAGGTGGGCGGGGGGGTTTCAAAGTCATATTATGCCCATGTATTATGCAGGATCAGCAGTACCAAGGGAGGGTGCAGGGAGTAGCATTAACAAAGGAAAGGAATGTTAATAGTATGTAGCTGCAGTTACTAAACAACCACGTAGAAAACTAAAGTATAAACTACATAAAAACTAAAGTATAAACTGCATAGCATCATCAGTATACTTACTATACTCTACAATAAGCTGAGTTACTAACAGCAAGTAATACATTACAATTCTACGTCGTAAAAAATATATAATATGCTTCCATCTAAACTTTATTCTCTTACATCACAGAGCATACACCGTACTATATACTGCCATAGATAAACCCAACATTAAATTATATACTGTATTGCTATATACATTTTATTATAACACTAGGGTGGTTTATAGTAATACAGTATATAATTTAATGTTGGGTTTATCTATGGCAGTATATAGTACGGTGTATGCTCGTGTGATGTAAGAGAATAAAGTTTAGATGGAAGCATATTATATAATTTTTCACGACGTAGAATTGTAATGTATTACTTGCTGTTAGTAACTCAGCTTATTGTAGAGTATAGTAAGTATACTGATGATGCTATGCAGTTTATACTTTATTTTTTATGTAGTTTATACTTTAGTTTTCTACGTGGTTGTTTAGTAACTGCAGCTACATACTATTAACATTCCTTTCCTTTGTTAATGCTACTCCCTGCACCCTCCCTTGGTACTGCTGATCCTGCATAATACATGGGCATAATATGACTTTGAAACCCCCCCGCCCACCTCCTACGCATTTCCCATGAATATGCTAAATTCCTCTTGATATGCACATTCTTTTTGTTAAGGCGCTCTTCTTCCACCTCCAACCCAGCTTATATATAAGCTCCTAGCTTGGCAGTGTCTCATTCTTCACCTGAAGACGGCTGCTTGCGTTGTAGCCGAAACGTCGTGATAATTATTTTATTATTTTTATTTTTATTATTTTATTACATCCCTTCTACGTGACTTTACCGAAAGAACCAAGAAGATGAATCCCTGCAGTCACGAAAGCTTTAAATCGAAATATCAGAGTTTTGTTTTTTGTTTGCATTTGACTGCAAGTATTGTGGTTAATGTAAGCATGATTCCTTGCAAAAGGTATCAGTTTTGTTGCCAGAAAAAAAAGGGGAAAAAACCCTATTAGTAATTTTGGTACTGGCAAAGGAGGTCCCATGATAGGGCTGTGACTGTCTTTAATGCACGTGTGGTAGTGTTGTAAAGATGAAACTGCGTGTACTGCGCTAACCCGGTAAAATGTGTTGACTTGAGAATGAGGTTCGATCCACAAAGACTTCCTTTGATTCATTACGGGGAAAATTATGGGAAGCTTACGAGGTTTTGAGTGACGCGCAGTTTTTTCAAGAATACAACTCACACCCCACTTCCCCCCACCCGTGTAAAACGAGAGATAAACTGTACTCAATTGTAACGATGTTAGACATCCCTTGGGTATGTCTAACATATTTGAGAAGAAAACAGGAGGATTTCTCCACAAATCTGGCTGTCGCCTGATGATGCTGGTTGTAATTACTGGCAAAAACGTCGTACTCAGATTGTAAATGTTGTAGTGGATTTGCTCTCCAACACACAACCGGTGGGTGGTTGTTCAGTAACGAATTGGCACTTTTGTTTTACGACCGTGAAAAACCTTACTAATTTGCTGTTGGTGGTGGCGGGTTTAACGGCACATTTATATTTACGCGCTCTAAACCATAAAACCCCTCTCATTATGGATGATATTGGTCGCGTTCGGCCTTCTACTACGTGTTAAATTAGTTCTAGTTCAACCCACAACATTTACAATCTATAGTACTGAGGACAGTTACAATGAGTAAATGTTGTGGATTTGCTCTCCAACACACCAGTTAGTGCTGTACGAGTAACGAATTGGCCACGTTCCGTTTACGAAACAAACACTTACTAGTTGGCTGTGTCGGGTGGTGGCGGTTTAACGACACCACATTTATATATTTACACGATCTAACCCAAACCTAGCTTTACTACCCGGCTTCATCCGGGACTTAATTCATCACGCCCGGCCGCCTTTGTCTCCCCAGTGGCGATGTTCACACACCACAGCAGTTAATTGTTTGAGGCTGAGTCGACCTAGGGGAGGCCCAGGACCGGTTCAAATTATCGTCACCGGTGGTGTCCGAGAGCGGGAATCGAACTCGGGTCGCCGGGTTCGTAGCGCAGCGCGCTAACCACTACACCACAACGCGTTACGTTACCACGTGCGCGGGTCACGTGACAGATTTGACATCACAGCTCACTTGCCGTGCAAAAAATCTATGCATTATTGAGCCCCCCCCCCATAAAGTGTATTTTATAATTTGTGCATGGTGTACAGTCTGGAAAGTACCCACATGGCAAATTTGCAGTTTGTTGCATGTCGGGAAGTACGCTAAACATTTTGAACAGACACACATATTCACAACTTTTGCCTTTTATATATATGGAGATAAACACCGTGACCGCCACCAGGGGGCGTTGTGCCAACAAAGCGAACTGGACTTACATATCTTGCTATTAGCCAATCAAGTGAAGGGGTGGAGGTCAGGGTTGACGTCATTAGTCGATCCAAATATACAGCAGCAGGCATCTTCAGGGTCGGGATCGAACCCACGACCTCCTGCATACCAGGCGAGGGAGTTAACATCTTAGTCCTCTGTGTCTGCGTGGCTCACGTTGTCCAGGAGTAGCTCGTGGCCATGGGGTTGCCCTTGGCTTTGCAAGTGAGATTGACACTCTGTTGACCTTTGCGATGGGGGCCGCCACCGTCCACGATCGTCAAAGTCAGGTCTAAGCAAAAAAAGGGGGGGAGGAAGAAAAATAATTCATAAATAGAGTTTTTTTTTAACACGCAGCAGTAGTAGTACGGTTTTCGTGACCAATATTATCCTTATTCTTAGGTTTTTTCAGTAAAAGTCACGTAGGTAAAACATTTAAATTAATAAAAGTAAAATAAAAATAAAATAAAATCACTTGATACAGCTATCGTGCTGTGACTGTTCCACCTGAAGACGGAAGCTTGTGTTGCCTCCGAAACGTCGTGATTTTATTTTATTTTTATTTTACTTTTATTGATTTTAATTTTTTACCTACGTGATTTTACCGAAAAAACCTAAGAATATGAATTCTTGCAGTCATGAAAGCTTCAAATCTAGAAATATTATCCTTAATAGAGGTTTTTTTAGGGGTTGGATCGCGTAAATCTATATGTGGTGTGCGTTAAACCCGCCACCACCCGACACAGCCAATCAGTAAAGGTTCGTCACGAAAAAAAATGTAGCCAATTGAGACAAATTTAGCTCTGGCCTGATGATGCTGGTTAGTGTGATTACTGGCGAAACGTCACGGTACTTGAATTGTAAATGTCGTAGTGGGTTTACTCTCCAACACACAACTGGCGAGTGCTCTACTAGTATATACACTATACACTGCACTATACATTACACTATATACTACACTTTACACTACACTATACACTACACTACAATGGTAAATGTTGCAGTAGGTTTACTCTCCAACACACAACCAGTTAGTGTACTGGTATACTACACTATACACTACTATACACTACACTATACACTACACTATACACTACACTATACACTACTATACACTACACTATACACTACACTATACACTACTATACACTACACTATACACTACAATATGCACTTCTACACTATACGCTACATTATACACTACACTATACACTACTATACACTACACTATACACATTTATACACTACACTATACACTACTATACACTACACTATACACTTCTAGACTATACACTACTATACACTACACTATACACTACAATATGCACTTCTACACTATACACTACTATACACTACATTATACACTACACTACTATACACTACACTATACACTACATTACTATACACTTCTATACTATACACTACACTATAAACTACTATACACTACATTCTAAGAAGAATAGGTTTACCCTTCCTGGTGTTAAGGTGTTAAAACACCAAACAGAAACCTTTTGCAAGGAATCATATCTGCATTAACCACACTTACTTGTGGTGAACAGCAGCTGTCTCCGGTATGGACCAATCAGTTTCAAAGACAATGCATCATAAACTACCAACTCGCTTCATTTGTGTCACCCGGCGCTCCGCTCGTCGTTGTTGTTGCGAGCATCGCTCCGCTTCTCCGTTGTTGCCCGAGGATTGACGCATCTCCCGAACTGCCCAGCAGTAATGTGTGCCCCCCCCCCCGCCACCCACTTTCCCCAGCCTCAACAACTCACACTTGACGTCGAGCACGACCGACTGCTCCACTTTCCCCACGCCGCCGGAGAATTCGACGAAGCACGTCAAGGTCTGCCCGTGCATCTCTGGCGTCGGCTTGAGAAAGGCCGTCGAAGTGTTGTTCCGGTAGTTTATCTGCTGCCTCATTGTTCCGTTGGACAGCTTCCACGACATGCCTGCTAAGCGGACGTCCTTCGGTGTCTGGCAGGCGACGGACGCTTCATCGGAGCCGTCCAAGAGGACTTTGGGTAGAATGATCTCGGGGGATTCTGGGTAAAGGGGGAAGAAGGACAGAAGGGGAGATTCATCTTCTTGGTTATTTCGGTAGAGTCACGTTCAAGTTCAAGTTCATGTATTAGGTATAGCCCTGTGAGCCATTCGGCTCTTGAATCGGGTGCAACCGCAACAAACAAAAAAACAAAAACATGAACAAGAACACATCTTATAGTGACTATGTGCAAACAGAAAATCCAAGAAAAGACAGCAAAATATTGCAGAAAAAGCACCGTACACCAACACTGTGTGCAAAAATCCCACGTAGAAGGGAAATAATAAAATAAGAAAAATTAAACAATTATTATTATTTCCCTTCTACGTGATTTTACCGAAAGAACCAAGAAGATGAATCCCTGCAGTCACGAAAGCTTTAAATCGAAATAGAAGGGGGGATGTTAAAAATTGTTATCGTGGTGGGAATAAATCTCGTGAGCCGTGAAGCTCTTCATGCACACAGATGCTCCAGCTAAAGGGGGAGCCAACAAACGATACAGAAACACGACAGGAGTGAAAGGTATAGGATAGGTAAACAAATCACTTTTTAAAAAATATATACAAATAAGACTAACTATTTTTTTTATTTTACTTGGTAAAGGCCCACTGAGATATACAGCGCTTTTTCAGAAGTGCTCTGGGCACAAATGATAGCTCAACGAAGTGGCTTATCATCATCATCATCACGTGGACATTTACATAGCAGCCAAATAAGTATAAATGCGTGGTGACGTCCATTCTAAACGTAGAGGGAAAAAGCGGAGGAGCCGGAGGAATATCCACGCGACCACTCCAAATATACAGCAGCAGGCATCGTAACGGTCGGGATTGAACCCACGACTTCCTGTATACCAGGCGAGGTAGTTAACATCTCCTAGCCACCTTGATGATGATGAGAGAGAGAGACACGCAAACTCCAAATATACAGCAGGCGTCAGGGTCGGGATCGAAGCCACAACTTCCTGCATACCAGGCGAGGTAGTTAACATCTCCTAGTCACCGTGATGAACAATGAGAGAGAGAGACAACGCAAACTCCATATATACAATAGGCATCGTCAGGGTCGGGTTCGAACCCACGACCTCCTTGCATACCAAGCGAGGTAGTCAACATCTCCTAGCCACAACCTCAGGGTGTCACTCACCGTGCACAACCAGTTTGACGATTGTTATTCTTGACCCCATGTTGGTGGTGAGCTTGCATTCGTAAGTTCCACTATTGTTCATCGTCACGTTCTTCAGCCGGAGGGAGTTTAGCATCCCTCCGAAGGTGCTGCTCACAAACTCCAAATTCGTATCTTTGTTATCGATCAATGTGCCCCATCTCGAGATGATGCTCTCTGTACCTGTACAAAAGAAGAAGGAGAGGCAGAAAAAAACATTTGCGAAGCGTGCGCCCACTTTCGTAGCGCGCCCGATGGCGGAGCGTGCGATCGACGGTTCCTCGGAATCGGAGACTTTTATTGTCGCTGCGGGAGGAGAAATCCGATGAGCCGTGAAGCTCTTTGTTTCACAGATGTCCAGTCGGGGAGGCACGCGGTCAGGACGATACAACAGCAACGAACATGACTTGCTCAATAAAGACTTTAGTTCTCTCTATTTTCTAAAAAAGATGTTTTTAATACACCCCTGTTAACGACTAATCACTTCTTCTTGGTTCTTTCGGTAAAGTCACGTAGAATGGAAATAATAAAATAAGAAAATAAAACATAATAAAATAATTCTCACGACGTTTCGGCCACAACGCAAGCAGCCGTCCTCAGGTGAAGACCAGGTCTGTCGATAAGACAGAGTCTGTCTTACAGAGTCTGTAAGACAAACCTGTTCTTCACCTGAGGACGGCTGCTTGTGTTGTGGCCAAAACGTCGTGGGAATTATTTTATTATGTTTTATTTTTATTATTTTATTATTTCCATTCTACGTGACTTTACCGAAAGAACCAAGAAGATGAATCCCTGCAGTCACGAAAGCTTTAAATCGAGACTAATCACTTATCGACGGGCCTCCATAGCGTCCAATGTGTAGTGTATAGTGTAGTGTATAATAGCTTAGCGTATAGTAGCGTAGTCTATCGTAGTATACAGTGTAGTGTATAGTAGTGTAGTGTATAGTAGCGTAGTGTATAGTAGTATATAGTGAAGTGTATAGTAGTGTAGTGTATAGTAGCGTAGTGTATAGGGAAGTGTATAGTAGTGTAGTGTATAGGTGTAACGGGTTCCGGAGACACTTGTAGATGTAACTTCTTTATTACGATTCAACACTCCAACTCTCCAACAGTCCAACACTCCAACTCTCCAACAGTCCAACACTCCAACTCTCCAACAGTCCAACACTCCAACTCTCCAACAGTCCTGATACTCTGTTACAGCCTAGGTACACAGCCTAGGTACACAGCCTAGATACACTACTCTGGCTACGCTCTGGAACTCGCCCTCACAAGGTCGTAGAGTCGGGAGTTCCAGAGTCCCACCACTGGCTCTCACAGCGTCCCAGGGTCCTCCGATGGCTGGTCTTGGGTCTTGGGTCTTGAGCTACGACTGGCCCTGATCGTCCAGGGAGCTCCGCTTTTATGCCCAGTCCCCAACGAGGGGTGGGGCCGTGTGCGCCCCCAGATGTCCCACAGAGCACACACAGCCCCCCCCTTTGGCGGCGCCAAGGGGATTAAGCGCCTGGGAACTCAACGCCTGACGCCAAGAGGATTAAGCGTCTGACCCGCTTGAGAACCCACCGCCTGGTGCCAAGAGGCTTAAGCGCCTGGCCCACCCAGGGTCCCAGAGCCCCCAGCAGCCCCTCCCCTCTTATGTCACTACATAGGGTAGTGTATAGTAGTGTATAGGGAAGTGTATAGTAGTGTAGTGTATAGGGTAGTGTATAGTAGTGCAATGCCACCATAGAGCCCAATGTGTTCGCTTACTGTTAACGACGGGCTGTAGTAAGTACAGTAAATACAATTAATGCATTGATTAACCACGTTTCTTTTAAAATTACGTGTTTATAATTTCGTAAGTATTTTTGCGTATTAATATCCATCGTGCTTTTTAGTTTTTTCGGTAAAGTCACGTAGGTCTTCACCTGAAGACGGTTGCTTGTGTGGTGATCGAAACGTCGTGAGCTATTGTTTTTTCTACCTACGTGACTTTACCGAAAGAACTAAAGAGTATGAATTCCTGCGGTGATGAAAGCTTCAACTCAAGAATATCCATCGTGTCAACATTATAAAGTTTTTTTGGGAGCTGTAAAGGGGTTACCTTCGATGCTATCGGTACAAATTAAGGTGCATTTCCTCGACTCGCTTATCGATCCATTCTCTTGACGGCCAGTTTCTAGGAACCAATAACCGTGGCTCAGAGGGTTTCTACTCGATCACGTGTCTACTCCTTTATCACGAGTCTGTCTACTCGATCACGTGTCTACTCCTTTACCACGTGTTTACTCTATAATGTGTCTACGACTGTGAGTCGCCCCTTTTTGCAGACGCTGCTCTGGAGTACAAATCTCCCACTCGCTCTTTACCGCCCCAAAAGTGTGCCAGTCAGAAATGAAAACCGTTATTTGGACTCCAGGAGGAGGAATCCGATGATCTATGAAGCTCTTTGTTTCACAGATGTCCAGCAGCTGGGCACGGAGTCATGGCGTTACATACAATAAACAAATACGAAATAATAAACAAGATAGGAGTGAAAATTTAAGGGAACGGCAAACAGATCACGTACAAAATCTACAAATAACACTAAACTATGTTCTTTTTTAATCTTACCAGGTAAAACCCACTGGCCGCAAATTATACTTTAGCACGGTTGACAACGTACGGTGCGAAAGAAATTCAACACACACACACAACAGGAAGCCACTGGAAGATACGATGCACTTTGACATCTGCACAAAGATTCCGCGCGACTCTCACTTTTGTCTTTAGTCCACGTGATTTGCGTGCCCGTGTCGGATGAGTCGCAGGGCAGCGTGATGCCGTGACCCACAAAGCCGTGCAGGGTGACGTCCTTGCTTGAGATACCTGCGCGTGCCAGTGTGCGTGTGTGTCAGTGTATCAGTGTGTGTGTGTGTGTCAGTGTATTGGGGTGTGTGTCAGTGTATCGGTGTGTGTGTGTGTCAGTGTATCGGTGTGTGTGTGTGTGTCAATGTAATGGTGTGTGTGTGTCAGTGTATTGGCGTGTGTGTCAGTGTATCGGTGTGTGTGTCAGTGTATTGGTGTGTGTGTACGTGTGTGTTGGTGTGCGTGTGTGTCAGTGTATTGGTGTGTGTGTGTGTCAGTGTATTGGTGTGTGTGTGTCAGTGTATTGGTATGTGTGTGTGAGTGTATTGGTGTGTGGTGTGTCAGTGTATTGGTGTGTGTGCGTCAGTGTAATGGTGTGTGTGTGAGTGTATTGGTGTGTGTGTGTGTCAGTGTATTGGTGTGTGTGTGTGTCAGTGTAATGGTGTGTGTGTGTGTCAGTGTAATGGTGTGTGTGTGTCAGTGTATTGGTGTGTGTGTGTGTGAGTGTATTGGTGTGTGTGTGTCAGTGTATTAGTGTGTGTGTCAGTGTATTGGTGTGTGTGTGTCAGTGTATTGGTGTGTGTGTGTCAGTGTATTGGTGTGTGTGTGTGAGTGTTGTGGTGTGTGTGTGTGTGTTGGTGTGTGTGTCAGTGTATTGGTGTGTGTGTGTATCAGTGTAATGGTGTGTGTGTCAGTGTATTGGTGTGTGTGTGTCAGTGTATTGGTGTGTGTGTGTGTCAGTGTATTGGTGTGTGTGTCAGTGTATTGGTGTGTGTGTGTGAGTGTATTGGTGTGTGTGTGTCAGTGTATTGGTGTTTGTGTGTATTGGTGAGTGTGTGTGAGTGTATTGGTGTGTGTGTGTCAGTGTATCGGTATGTGTCAGTGTATTCGTGTGTGTGTACGTGTGTGATGGTAAACACGCACACATACACATAGGAGCACACGTGAACACATGCCAACACACATTGACGTGCTCGTGTGGACCCTCCACATTTAAAATCAACATCACGCGTTTTGTGCAATTTTGGCTGCTGTAAAGTTTCACTTCGTTCAGCTGTCATTTGTGATAGCCAGAGTTAAATAGTTTCAAATAGTTTAGTTTAATTAAGGCTGAGTTGACCTAAGCGGAGGTACAGAGGCGATGGGGGAACCAGTTCAGATAATCGCCACTCCGTGGGAGAGTAGATACAACTTGTGGCTAGGAGATGTTAACTCCATAGCCTGGTATACAGGAGGTCGTTGTTTCGATCGCGGACCCTGACGATGCCTGCTGCTGTATATTTGGAGTCTGTGTGTCTCTCTCTCATCATTATCACGGTGGCTAGGAGATGTTAACTACCTCGCCTGGTATACAGGAGGTCGTTGTTTCGATCGCGGACCCTGACGATGCCTGCTGCTGTATATTTGGAGTCTGTGTGTCTCTCTCTCATCATCATCACGGTGGCTAGGAGATGTTAACTACCTCGCCAGGTATACAGGAGGTCGTGGGTTCGATCGCGGACCCTGACGATGCCTGCTGCTGTATATTTGGAGTCTGTGTGTCTCTCTCTCATCATCATCACGGTGGCTAGGAGATGTTAACTACCTCGCCAGGTATACAGGAGGTCGTGGGTTCGATCGCGGACCCTGACGATGCCTGCTGCTGTATATTTGGAGTCTGTGTGTCTCTCTCTCATCATCATCACGGTGGCTAGGAGATGTTAACTACCTCGCCAGGTATACAGGAGGTCGTGGGTTCGATCGCGGACCCTGACGATGCCTGCTGCTGTATATTTGGAGTCTGTGTGTCTCTCTCTCATCATCATCACGGTGGCTAGGAGATGTTAACTACCTCGCCAGGTATACAGGAGGTCGTGGGTTCGATCGCGGACCCTGACGATGCCTGCTGCTGTATATTTGGAGCCTGTGTGTCTCTCTCTCTCATCATCATCATCACGGTGGCTAGGAGATGTTAACTACCTCACCTGGTCTGCAGGAGGTCGTGGGTTCGATCGCGGACCCTGACGATGCCTGCTGCTGTATATTTGGAGTCTGTGTCTCCCTCTCTCTCATCATCAACACGCCAGTTATACAGGAGGTCGTGGGTTCGATCGCGGACCCTGACGATGCCTGCTGCTGTATATTTGGAGTCTGTGTGTCTCTCTTTCATCATCATCATCACAGTGGCTAGGAGATGTTAGCTACCTCGCCTGGTCTACAGGAGGTCGTGGGTTCGATCCGGACCCTGACGCCTGCTGCTGTATATTTGGAGTCAGCGTCTCTCTCCCCGTGGTCGCGTGGATTTTTCTCCGGGTCCTCTGTTTTTTTCCCCTCCACCATTTAGAATCGACATCGCCACCACGCGTTTAGAGGCTATTTGGTTGCTGCCGCACATTTCCACACGACGATATATGGTAAATCGTCGAGCTCTCATTTGTGATGGGACAGGCCGCTTCTGAAATAAGAGCTACTAAGCTCAGTCGGGGCCCTTCACCTTATAAAATAAAAAAAATCATACACTATGAGACGTCTCCTTTACCAGTGGCAAAATATAGTAATAGGTTTTTACCCTTTCAACTGGTACAAAAACTGACACCTTTATACAAGGCATCATGTTTGCAATAACCACAACACAAGCAGTCAAAATGCAAACAAAATAAACAATTCTAGATTTGAAGCTTTCGTGACTGCAATGATTCATATTCTTAGGTTTTTTCGGTAAAGTCACGTAGGTAAAAACATTAAAAAGTAAAATAAAAAAATCACGACGTTTCGGAGGCAACACAAGCTTCCGTCTTCAGGTGGTACCGTCACAGCCACGACAGCTGTATCAAGTAAATGAGAGATTGCAAGAGCTACCACTCCGTTTATTATATAATAAACGGAGTGGTAGCTCTTGCAATCTCTGTTTATTATATAAACGGAGTGGTAGCTCCTGCAATCTCTCATTTACTTGATACAGCTGTCATGGCTGTGACGGTACCACCTGAAGACGGAAGCTTGTGTTGCCTCCGAAACGTCGTGATTTTTATTTTATTTTACTTTTTAATGTTTTTACCTACGTGACTTTACCGAAAAAACCTAAGAATAAAAAAGAAACAACTCTGATAATGATAATGATATGCACTGTCCTTGAAGTTGATTGGTCCACACCCGAGACAGCTTTTCTTAGAGCCTAGTCTCCATTGGTGTCCAACACCAATCAACTTCAAGGACAGTGCTTATCATTATCAGAGTTGTTTCTTTTTGTTTGCATTTTGACTGCTTGTGTTGTGGTTATTGCAAACATGATGCCTTGTATAAAGGTGCCAGTTTTTGTACCAGTTGAAAGGGTATAAACCTATTACTATATTTTGCCACTGGTAAAGGAAGTCTCATAGTGTAAATGCTTACCCCGAGCTCTCAATACTCTGATAGTGTGCTGTTTTTGAGTTGTACGCCTTTTGGCGTCATCTGGTACAACACCATGTGAGACTAGGCTCTAAGAAAAGCTGTCTCGGGTGTGGACCAATCAACTTCAAGGACAGTGCATATCATTATCATCATCAGAGTTGTTTCTTTTTGTTTGCATTTTGGCTGCTTGTGTTGTGGTTGTTGCAAACATGATGCCTTGTATAAAGGTGTCAGTTTTTGTACCAGTTGAAAGGGTAAAAACCTATTACTATAAAAAAAATCATAGTTTTAGTTTAATCTTCACGCGGCATCTCCCCCCCACCTCCAACCCCTCCCCCCCAGCACGCAAAAAAACATCGATGGTAACGATCTTCCGTTGTTGAGTAGAGGGGAAACATTCGGTCAAACTCTCGAAGTTTTATCTGAAAAGTGCAGTGCCCCGGCCACAAAACCCACTCACGCCTCTCACCGCGCGTGAAGAGTGACCACCACGGCTCACACAAACTTCCCATCGACGTACAAACACAAAGACGGTGTTCTTCCTATGTTTGTCGTTCTGTGTGTGTGTGCGATGTTGTACCGTACGTAGCCAACGGAGCTGAACGCACAACGATGCTTCATCGTTATCGTGAAGACAGAATCGTTCGTATCGTTGGACAATAAATATAAATAACAGGATCATAGAGTATTATTAGTCTTGGTTCTTTCGGTAAAGTCACGTAGAACTGAAATAAAAACATAAGAAATACAATCCTCACGACGTTTCGGCCACAACGCAAGCAGCCGTCCTCAGGTGAAGAACAGGGCTGTCGGAAAGACAGCATCCGAAGGCAGAAGGGAAATAATAAAATAATACAAATATAAAACAATAAAATTCTCACGACGTTTCGAAAATTCTCAAGACGTAAGAATTTTGCAGGTGTGATGATTGCTTGTGTTGCAGTCGAAACGTCGTAAGAATTTTATTGTTTGATATTTTTATTATTTTATTATTTCCCTTCTACGTGACTTTACCGAAAGAACCAAGAATGTGAATCCCTGCAGTCACGAAAGCTTTAAATCAAAATGTAGGATCATAGCGCTTTTTTATAGGGTCAGATCGTGTAAATATATTAAATGTGGTGTCGTTAAACCCGCCACCACCCGACACAGCCAATGAGTAAGGGGTTGTCACGTTAACAAAACGTGGCCAATTCGTTACTAGTACAGCCACACACAACGGCTGTGTGTTGGAGAGTAAACCCACTACAACATTTACAATTGTAGTGTAGTGTATAGTAGTGTAGTATATAGTAATGTAGTGTATAGTGTAGTGTATAGTAGTGTAGTGTATTGTAGTGTAGTGTATAGTGTAGTGTATAGTAGTGTAGTGTATAGTGTAGTGTATAGTAGTGTAGTCTGTAGTGTATAGTAGTGTATAGTGTAGTGTATAGTGTAGTGTATAGTAGTGTATAGTGTAGTGTATAGTAGTGTAGTGTATAGTGTAGTGTGTAGTGTATAGTAGTGTAGTGTGTAGTGCATAGTAGTGTAAAGTGTAGTGTATAGTGTATAGTAGTGTAGTGTATAGTAGTGTAG